CATTGTAGTCGATCTGCTTCACACCGTGCTCCTCATCGTCTTCTTGGGACAAAGCATTCCTTAAGCCTGAAGTTCTTGATTGATACTTGAAGAGACCTCGATCTCTCGGATCTCCCTTGGCAAGTGGCTCCTCAAGAGGCTGCTGTTGGCCAGAATCTAGAGTGACGTTAGGGTCAAAGCTGATGGAGGGGCGTCGATTCTGGATGTAGCTCTCAAGCGGGGAGGCTGAAACCTCTTCTGGCTTATGAGGATAGCTAACATCGTGTGTGTGACGATCATCGTGACGAGGGACCGAGATTGGAGGAGTCGCTGAATGGAGACCACTCAGTATACTGTTGTCTTGATCAGTACCGCCACCGCGCGCGCCAGAATCGTGAAAGATGTTGGTACGGTCGCCCTCGATGCCACTGCCATCATCCGTCGCTCCCCGGCCACCTTCAGGCCGCTGCCACTGATGTCGCTGAAAGGAAGTTTCGATCTTCAAGCCTGCCAATCCGTTCCTTTCTTTATGAGCCATGCCCTCCCAGAGGACAAGTGCGCTATAAGTGGAAAAGCTGAGATGGTGATGAGGTTGCTGAATTTCGCGATGATACGATGAGGCGACTACATGGGAGGGTCGACCGAGGTCCGTTGTGTGATTTAACTCTGTCGATTATTGGGGGCAACTATGAAGACGGGTTGTATGATATTAAACGGACAAGGTCCACCCGCTGATGAAGGGTATTCAGTGAAAGAGGAGTAAAACTAGATGATGAGCCACCTATCCACAGAGATTTGGATGAAAAGATCGTGAAAGTGTCGAATCTGAGACGAAGGTGATGGGCAAGGATGGGTTTATCGGGTGATGACGGGACGATTGTTGCGAAGGCTCGGAAAGTGAACAGTGAGCGGGGTGGCAGATCGACACTAATTTTGCTCACCGTCCAATGAACGGCGCTTTATCATCCTCCAGACCCCAGTATGTCACGTGATAGGTGGACTCTGTCCTACAATTCTTTGCCCTAGGGCCAAACAAGCACGGGCTAAGCCTATCGTAGTTAGAGCATTCTTGCTTAGGTGCTCAGGCACCTTAGGCCAATACTAATAAGCGCGCGCAAGGGGCGCTTGTTTTGGAGATTCTGGACACCCCCCTTTCGGACGTTGTCTTGATAGTCCGGGGAACACGTTGGGCTACCCGGTCATTGACACGGCCACGGGCGTTGCGTATCTCTTCTTTTCTTCCTAGTTTGGCCTGTTCTTGTCAAGAATCGCTCTGGAAGTATTTCTTTCGTCTTGCGGGCCATATTGCCATTATTTGACTGTCTATCCTTGATACCTTCAGCCGATGCTCTCTGCGGACTTGACCAAGCTGGCGCTGTCACTTTGATTAACTTCAGACTCTTTGACACTTATCCTTGCGTCTTTAATTGACAAGAGTCTCCTTCAATTCGATCATTTCCTTCCTGGTCTGTTTTTTTTTTCTAATTTTAATTTTTCTTGTTTTACCCCACACCAATCGCTATTGCGTCGAATCTTGTTTTGTCTCTCCTGCGACATCGATGACGCCTGATTTCTCAGTTGCTTCTCAGTCTTCAGTTTCCGAGCTCTCGACACAATTTCGCCGCTTTTCTAGGGATCAAATAGCTGAGAAAGATCGAAGATGACAAGACCTCGAATTATCCGAGCTGGTATGTGCCGAAACAGTCAGACCGCACTGGCAAAGTCCCTGAGCTGTGCCGTTGAAATTCTAACTGGCTCGCGGTAGACACGCTCGACCTTCAAGATCACCATGCTCCCTCGGCTAAAGACCATTCGAAACATTCCTTCAATACAGGCAGCGGCCTTGCACCCCATCAGGAACATACCCTTCGCCATGCGGATCAAGATGCGAGAAATGAGATGATATACGGCCCCAATTTGGACGAGAGCCACCTGAACTCTGACCACTACCATGATGGAATGGATATTCATGACGACATGGACGTTGCGGATGCAGGATTTGGCCATCATGGACGCGGCCATGGCTCGGAAGAAGGCGACCTCGCAGACGAAGAAAGTGACGACCTGTTGGATGATGATTTGATGGACAAAATCTCAAGTTCGCCGTCAATTGACGATGGTAAGCACCTGACCCTGGGACTTTGATATTTGCAGGATGGTTCGTCGCGCTGCACTTCTTGTCGCTGTGCAATGTTCCCATGTCCTTCGTAGTTCTCTAAATTTCCAGATTCACATGGCTTACATTGAGTAGAAGATATTGATTTCGAATTCGTCTACGCTCTTCACAATTTTGTCGCCACGGTTGATGGACAAGCCAACGCAGCAAAAGGAGATACAATGGTCCTCCTCGACGATAGCAACAGCTACTGGTGGCTCGTTCGAATCGTGAAGGATGGCAGCATCGGTAACATTTCTCGCTCGCCCTTCCCAGAATGGTTCCCTGACAGTCTCTAGGGTATCTGCCGGCTGAGCATATAGAAACACCCACAGAAAGACTTGCAAGGCTGAACAAGCATCGAAATGTTGACGTATGTGATACCCGCTGAGTAGTAGGACTCTCTAACAGAAACAGTTGTCAGCAACGATGCTAGGTGACAATTCAGAGAAATCCAAAAATCCGTTAAAGAAAGCAATGCGCCGCAGGAATGCAAAAAACGTCACCTTCACCGCTCCGACGTACATTGAAGCGTCGGATATTGATTGGTCAACCGAGGATGAAATCGACGACGCAGACTCTCTTATTGACGCCCAAGAGATCATACGTGATGGCGATGATCTGCATGATGAACCCAATGATGATATCGTCGTCGAGCCGCTCAGACCGAAGTCAAATCGCGACAAGGTCAATGATGAGTCAGAAAACTTGGAAGAAACTCAGGAGTCTGGCTCTACGAGCCCCGAGAAGCAACGCTCCAGCCAGGAGTTGTTTGAGGCAGCAAGTGAACCTACTGTCAGCAGATCTCGGAATGGTACCGTGAGGAACACAGATTCGTTCTTCAAAGACGACACTGTTGAGACTAAGAAGATATCTCTGACGCCGAATTTGCTTCGTGACGAAGTGAGCAGTGGGGGGCTCTCAAGCGAGACAAAGGAGGGCCGTGGAAGCTTTGACAACATTGACAAAGCATTGGGTGCAAACGACAAAGGCAGGGATGACAAGAAGAGAAAGGACAAGAAGCCAGGGATGCTGAGTGGGCTGTTCAAGCGGAAGGATAAAAGAAGCAAATCTACCGAAGATGAATCCGACGAGCCAGAAAAGGTCTCAGGCGAATTATCTCGAACGTCGCCCATACCCAAGACGTCCTCAGAGTCCGTGTCGTCCCCTGAGTCACGGCCAGCGAAGGGTAACCCAGCACAAAAGCAGACGACTAAGCCCCAGAAGCAGACTCTGCCTGTCACCTCGCCTACCAACCAAGCGGTTCAGCATGGCTCGAATGCGCCTGTTGCCGTCGAAAGTGGTGAAAAGGTGCTTACAAAAGGAAAACAAAAGACTGATACAATCCGACAAGTGGTTTCTGAGGATGACGACATTCTTCCTCAGTCCACACGTGCAATGGTTTCTGAGGACGCAGGAGACGGTATAGTGTCTCCTGTTGACACGATAGATTCGTCCGCAAAGCGGGATCCTGAGGATGTAATCGCCAGGGATGCTACGATCGACCGCGTTGAGTTCCAACACGAAGAAAGACAGAGTCCTTACGATCGGATAGTTCCACTCCAACCGTCTGAAACATCGCAGCCGCAGAGATCTCCGCAGAAACAGGAGAACTCCTATCTTGATCGAAGACCAGAGTCGCCTGCGAGTGTGTCACCGATCGGGGCCGGTGCGCCACCTGGCCTTCAAACGGATTTGTCTTCTCCAAAGGATTATTCTGTCTCCCCAATCTCGCCACCGATTTCCCCAGTCGAAAACGCCAGCGAGAGCAAGGGCATTGATACAGTCGCCTCTCCAATGGATCGACTTTCTGCGGAAACCCCGACTTGGAGCGACGCTAGTCTGCGGTCGTACTTGGACGATGAGAACGACATCCGCGATTTGTACATTATTGTGCATGATAGTTCGAACATCCCTCCAGCTGGTCCTGAGCATCCAATCACAGGCAGCCTTTTCAAAGAGGAAAGCAGGAGACTGAAGGAAATGAGCAGCCAGTTGGACATGATGCTAGCTGACTGGGTCGGTCGACGCTTGCGAAATACAACTGCCACGAAGGCAGTAAGCGTTACGGCGTTGTGACTGCTCTGTTGATGTAATAGTTGTACGCCATGCAAATATTGTCGAACTTTTATCGGGGTTCTCCTGATGGCCAGATGCTCGATTGTGCTGGGCGCATTACATGAGTTATCCTTGCCACTGGCTCGTCTCTATTCTAGCTGATTTTAAATCGGACCATTCTACGTTTTTTCTTCCTTTTCCTTTTTCCCCTTCTCTCATTACTTTTTTCTTTACCTATTCGACTCAAAAGGGCGCTGGTGTGAATCCCGTGCCAGAGACCACGAAAGCCCCTTGCTGCCAGCTTGTTTGTTTCATTTTTGTTCCCCTCGTTGAACACCTGAAGTTTATCACAAGCTATGTTGGGGCTTGCTGGAATGTCGTCCTTCACTATGCTCGACCTTCCCTTCCTTTCTTCCTTTTCCTCGCTTTACCTCTATTGGGATACCCCGAGGCATATATGGGCTTGTTCGACTCTTGCATGCTTACTGTGCTCTACAGCCAAATTAACATCTCTTATCACATCTCGTACCTCTTAGAAATGAAGAAAATAAACATCTCCTGCAGATCACTCTGTGACAGACGCTCTAGGTTCCTGACTATGAATATGGTAGCTCGTAAACAAAGCCTTGCTGACTCGCTACCAGTGTACGACTTCGCTTATTCTTGATAGTGGTACTTTAATCTTCTAGACTGCGTCACTTCGACATCCTTACTAAGCGCATAGCTCGAGGGTCTCCTTGAGTTATGTGGAATACTTGTACCGTGACTGGATGATGTCGCGGGGAAAGGTCATCTGGTGCCGACGCAGTCATACAGCTTACACCTCAGCCGCACGGGACACGGGGATCCATGTTTGATTGAAATTTTGGTTATAAATCGTTGTCTGATATCATTCAGCCTTTTTCTTCTTAAATTGAAATTACTCTTACTCTGGACAAATCCATTTGCCTCTCGCAAGGTCTTCACTTCTCGAAGATGGCGTCCCCATATGACCAGTACCCACCCTATGGCGCTCCAGCTCCAGGTCCGCACCCTAGCGGCGGGGCATACTATACGCCCCAGGACGCCCCGCATGGTTATGGGTCTCAGCAACCATATGGACAGCCTGGCCAGCTTGAACAGTATGCGGGTGCCCACACTTCCCAGCATGATTTGAGCCCGCAAGCGCAACAATATCAGCCGCCGCCGCAGAGGGACTTTCTGAGCCCGTCTGATGCGCTGGGGTACCAGCATGCGCCCGGAAACTACGAAGCTAGAGGTCGCCAGGGCAGCAACGCTGAGTATTAGTATGACACCTTCCTCGTTCGTCTGGTTCTATCTTCGACTAACGCCTTACAGCAACCAACATACCGACGAACATAGAGACGCTTCCCGATCACGGCGCCGCCGATCCCGCGCGTCCAGTAGCGCGATGAAAGACAGATCTGGATCGCGGTCTAGGTCTAGGTCTGGGTCATCAGGGCAGGATCGTGGCCTTGCGGGAACGTTGATGGGAGGGGCGTCTGGATACTATCTGGGACATAAACAGAGTCATGGTCTCCTCGGTGCTTTGGGCGGCGCACTATTAGGAAATTTTCTAGAGCACCGGGTCGAGGAACACAAGGAGCATGGCGAGGATCATCATAAGCGCCACCGCCATCGCCATCGTCACCATCATCATCATCATCATCATGATCATGATCAGCGGCATCTCGATCAACACCACCATGGCCATCGGCATCATCGGAGCCACTCGAGACATAGTAGACACAGTGACGATCCCTGAGGCTTGGGTTCGCTGTGGGGAGCGGTAAGCCTGGCATGAGGTGATGCACATGGTTTTGAATTGTTCTGCGATAGGAATGGTCTTCGTTCGTTGTAACTACTTTTCATCATGCCCTTGCTTGCACTTTCAGTTCGCTCATGTTGTCTATGCAGTAGCAGATGGATTGTTTGTTTCGCTCCTGAGAGATTAGCTGCGCATGTTCGTAGCGTGCTCTGTGCCTGACGAATGACTGCCTCATATGCCTGGCAGACCATGGGTAACTGCAAATATTACCTTCGATCGCTCCAGGCTCCCAATAGGAATTGACAAAAACGACATCGGAGTTGAAGCGTTCTTCATGTTCTGAGGGGATCCTTCAGTCCACTGTAGACTTGAGCATTCCTGAGACAACGTAGAGTATTGGCATTGAAATGGAGAAGAATGGAGGGCTAGTCATCACCTGACCTTGATGTCATAATTATCTATTTAGACCTTTGACAAACAACCATGACAAGGGTCCTACCAACGTGAACCCAGAAAACCAGGCTCTTATCAATGAGAGGATGACGATGATAGTGATGTAGTATTCGAGGGGCGGCACGTGACCACTTAACTATCTTACGAACTGATGTTAGTCAGTGATCCCGTTCTAGTCCGAATGCGGCGGCGGGTAGAAATGAAGCAGCCAATGGCATCAGCAGGATACGCCGATACAGATCAGGAGTTATCTATCTGCTGAGAGATCGACTATCTGTTAGTTTATCAGCCCCGTGGAGCGTGATTCATTTGTGTCTGTCCCAGTGCAAGTGGTCGATCTCTCTCTCAGCTGAGCCCACAACGAAATGGCTCGTGACCCATACTCGAAGGGGCAGTGTGACTCCCCCAAACGGATGGACAGCCAACACAGCCCTGAGTCCTTGGATTCTTTCACTCCTTCAAATCTGAGATATCCTTTTCTTTCAATCTTGAGTCTTTCCTTTGTGTCAAAAATTCCCCAAGGATAAGAAGAACATATCACAGGACTCTTCGTTGTTCATGTTGTTGAAAGACATCTTTCCCGCTCCGCTCTACTCTTTCCCCGTGTACTTCCCCAGGATCTCCTCCCCACATTTATCTGGGAGGCAGCAGATACCCTGAGCCAGCAAGAGGGTATTTGTGAGTTGGATAGAGTCACTCAGTATGCCTCCTCCGCTATTATACAATGTCCTGCCAGCCGCTCTTCCAGCACACTGTGAGCCCTCGTCACCATTCCTAGCTACCGTTTCGTCCCACTTGCATATCTGCCTTCCTACGCCTCTTGCGCTCTTATCTTCGGTTTTCGGAACGCTCAGCATCATATCCTGGCTTTTTGCACAGCTTCCCCAAATATACAAGAACTACCAGCTGCAATCAACGTCCGGCCTGTCCCTGTTCTTTCTCGTCGAATGGTGTCTTGGTGATACGGGTAACCTTGTGGGCGCTCTGTTTACTCGGCAGGCAACCTGGCAAGTGATCATAGCCGCCTACTACGTCTTGGTGGACGTAACCCTAGTCATCCAGTTCTTTTGGTATACACACTACAAAGGCCGAAGGGTCGCGTACGGTGGCCACTCCCACTCCCACCATGGCGAAGACACCGGATCGTTTCTGGAGGGAGTGCCGCTATCAGAGGAGGATTCGATCATTGATGTCCCACCACACAAGCCTGCAAGGGAGGGCTCGGCCACAAAGGATGAGGAGCTCCTCAAGAAATCGTCGCCCATTGCGATGAACAACCAACCGCTACTATATACTAACGAGAAGTTGAGCTCGTCTCGTCGCACGATCACCAGATCAAGCAGTGGACCCAGCCTGCCACTCGCCTCCACGCGCACTCTGCTTCTGGCATCGATGCTCTGCGCCGTTGTAGCCAACGCACAGCCCACCGAGCACCACCTGCCGCCCGCAGCTTCACAACAGACCACCCTGCTGATCGGCAGGATCTCCTCCTGGACCTCAACGGTCCTCTACCTCGGCTCACGTCCGCCTCAACTCATCAAGAACTACCGCCGCAAAAGCACCGCAGGGCTTTCCCCCTTACTCTTCATGGCCGCCTTCTGCGGTAACCTCTTCTACTCCGCCTCGCTCGCAACCAACCCCAACGCATGGTACGACTTTCCCCCGTGGGGAGGCCGCGGATGGGCAGGCGCAGACGGCAACAACCGCCTGGAATGGGTGGGCCTCTCCATCCCGTTCTTCCTCGGCGCCTTTGGCGTCCTCTTTCTCGACGGCTGCATGGGCCTGCAGTTCCTCATGTACGGCGCCCAGGACGAAGAATATGTTCCCGTCATGTACGCAGAAAGAACGAGCAGGTGGACCCGCGTCCGGGGCTGGATGAGGGGCTGGATCCCCTCCGTGTCCCCTCAGCGCGAATTGCACGATACCTCTGTGCAGGAAAGACAGACGCTCCTGCGCGGAGGACGACAGAGATACGGCACTGTTTAGATCTTTGCACCTCCCCTCTGCTTCATGATTCACCGATATCTTATTCCCTTTTTACATCCGGCACAGCGTGCATGTTTCAACGCCTTGATGACCATTATGCTTCATGGAGTACATCTCAATTGTCTCCTTGTCGTTTTGCATTTTCTCGCCCTATCCTTGTCTTTGGCGTTGCATTTTGGGAATGGGGATTTTTCCGGACTTACACGCATAGATGGATCATCGTCATGACTGGCCGTCTCTGACGGCATGATGCATGTGCATACACTTTGTTCCACTTTTGGTATTTTGAATGGCGTCTCTTCGTCGTCACCTACTAGTTCAAGCTAGGCGACGCTCGTCCTTTTTGCTTAGATATTTCCTGTCACTGCGGTCTAGTCATGTTTACACATCATGCTATGCATTACACTATGCTATGATATAGGGTCTTTAGACTATTCATCGAGGGGCAATAGATCCTGACTTTTCTAATGACGCGGTTCATGGTGTTCTGGTTGACAGAACAGGCTTTTACTCGTGGATATATCCTTATCGTGTAAAAATAATATATTAACAGTCATCTAAGTATAAACATTTAGGTACACTTCCGCCCAAGAAATCTCTCTCAGCAAGTCCACTTTCATCAACCTGATCAAGGTTCAAGCCCTGGGCCGCAATATCATGCACAATTAAGAGCCGGCCCCAATTCGAACCCTCCAGCACTTGGTGGGGAAGACCGGAAATATTGGTATGTGGTCTAAAAAAGTCGAACAATGAAGGGATAAGAAGTGAGAAAATAATGATTAAAAGCAAGCGGCCGGGTCCTCCATGTCGTTCATATCACTGGAACGGCAGAGACACCCGCAGAAGGTAGAGGTTGCTTGGTCGTCGTAGGTTCCGCAAAGGCGTATTCGTTCATTGTTCAGATACTCGTGACTTTGTTTTCAAACCAGACACTCTTCATGGACAGAGCAAAAGATCAACAGACGATTGAAGCGAACCGTCTAGTGTTACAGGGCAAGAAGTGCTGAAAAACCTTGCGACGCGGCATGACCAGCATCACCGAATCTGGCCTATTATCGGTGGCTCATCCCACGCACGACTCGACAATAGCGTATGATTAAGCGACAATTGTATCTCGGGTGGGAAAGAAAGCCAGGACGGGCACAATTTGCCCTCGAACTTCGTGACTCGTCATGCAGGCAGTTAGTACAGTGGCGATTGGACGTCCTGTACACCCCGTCTGATGACATCCTCAATACGCCAACGAGGAGGTACAATCCTCGCCGACCGCTTGCGCCGTAATTCTATCTCCTTCTCAGGAGGATGGCCCATACCTTCATCGGGGGTAGAGCGCCTCCGGCAATTCCAGTAGAGAACTTCAGTTGCAGGACATTGCCAATCTCGTCGCAGGCAGTCAGGACGCGGTCAAGGTCTTCCTTGGTATGCGCGGCAGAAACGCAGAAACGAGCCCGAGACGATACAAGAGGAGTGGCGGGGTATCCGACAACGACGACGGAGATCTTTCTTCTAAGCATTTCGTGGGAGAATGCGGGCATCTTGGCAGGGTTGAAAAGAAGGACAGGAATTATTGGCGAATCGTCGTGACCGTACACTATAAAGCCAAGACGCTTCAATCCGAGGCGAAGATATCGAGAGTTGAAGGCCAGCCGCTGCAACCGCTCTTCACCCTGGCCCGGAACAATCTCCCCGTTGATGATGCGGAGCGCGGAAGAGATCTGCGCCAGAATAGCAGGAGCTGGCGCCTCGCCGTAGAAAATACCGGAATTGGTCGCACGGAGTTTGTCAATCATCGCCTTATCAGCGGCAATGTAGCCCCCATTGGCGCCAAATGACTTGGTAAGGGTGCCCATCAGAATGTCTACCTCCTTCGTGTCAATGCTGAAATAGTCACAAACACCCCGCCCCTTGGGACCTATAGCTCCAATTGAGTGCGCCTCGTCCACAAAGAGATGGAATTTATAGCGACGCTTCAGCACAATGAGACCTGGAAGATTGCACATGGATCCTTCCATGGAGTACAGTCCTTCAACGACCACCAGAATCTTCTTCCATGGGCGATGAGTACGTGGCTGGCCCTGAGAGATGGCTTCACGCAGCTTTGCCTCCAGGTCCTTCATGTCGTTGTGCTTGAACATGCCAATGGACGCACCTGAGAGACGGGCGCCAAAGCGGATTGATGCGTGATTCAATTCATCGGAGATAATCAGGCAGCCTTTGCTCACCAAGGCCGGAAAGATATTTGCATTTGTACCAAAACCCATGGAGAAGACCATCGAGGCCTCCTTGCCCACAAAGCTGGCAACAAGACTCTCAACTTCGGCATGAAGATCTTGCGTTCCCACCTCAGCGCGAGTGCTAGGAGCACTAATCCCGTACTTCCTCAGAGTATCCTCGGCGTGGTCAGCGCAGGGACCATCAGACTGGGCAAATCCGAGGTAGTTGTATGAGCTCAGGTTCAAGGTATCCGTAGTGGTTCCGGTGAGATAGAAGTGTTTGTTGTGGTCATCGGTAGCCCGGTCGATCAAGGTGATGTATCTTCCAGGGACCCCGGTCACGGGACGCTCGAAACAGTCATTAATACGCAGCTTGAGACGACGCACGTAAAAGTTGTCGAAATCACTGTTGAGAGCACCGTATCCATTGCGAGGTTTCAGGTGCCGATAATTCTCCTCGCGGAAGCGCTTCCCGAAGAAATCGCGGACGTGTCCGAAAGCAATCAAAATCAAGTAGCTGATATAGGTAGTGAGAAGATAATAATAGGGCGGTTCGTCCATCACTGGCTCTGGGAAGACACCGCCAGGGTGTCTACTCGAGTAGCGGTGGCTTGGATGGCCGATGGGGCCGAATTGGGCATGCTGCTTGGCCTGGCGACGGGCCTCTTCGGGAGACGGAGGCTGGAAAAGTGTGGTCGGAGGCTCGTCCATGTTGGGATTGCCCGCAGTAGCTGTCGATAAAGAAATAGTCG